TGATGGTAATGGATCAAAAAATAGAACGTTGCTTTCAACAAAAAACGTATTTGAACAAAATTTAACAAATAATTTTGGAGAATATATGAATAAATACATGCAATATTTACAATTTGTGCAAAAAGCCAAGTCTAAAAGTTGGAAACATTTTAATTTTATAAGTAAGAATTCTATAAGGCAAACTTTTTTAAGTTCACAATTCAAAAAACCTTACATTAAACCTTCACAATTTATTAAGAAAAACAATAAGCTGAAAATACAGAATGTTGCGAATACACCTATGTTAAAATATGATTCTTATTTGCATGATTCAAATGATAATATATTAGGCATTAATTCATTTGAACAGTTAAATAAAAAAAAGTCAAATAAACAAAATCAATCCCGAACTGTAGCAAAAGTTGCAGTAGAAAGTTCAGCTCCAACACAAATATTTGAAGGTGTGAAAAGAAAGGAATGCATTCAGGAGGAAATTGTTTTGTCTTCAAAGGATGAAGAAGTATTTCAAAGTTTAAAATTTTTATTTCCTGAAATCAATGAAGATTATATGAAAGATTTATGTCTTGAATATTCTGAGAAGTATGACGATGGTATCCAAATGCTGGCACATTTAGAAGATTATATTATTGCAATTAGAGATCAGTCTCCCATTAGAAAGGAAGAAAAAATAGCCGAACAACAAACAATTTTAGCAAATATATTTCCTAATGCCGATGAAACATATTTAAGAAAAATGGTACAACGCATGAAGGGTGACGAAAAGGCTGTAAGTGATTATATAGACGCCCAGTGCAAAAATCCCACTTATATTACAAAAGAAGAGGTTTCACGAAGGATAAAAATTCGAGGCCAACACAAGAAATATGAAAAGAACTTCGATGTAAGAATGTTTTTGGAAGCATTTCCAAATGCTTTTGAACATTTCGAAAATCCAGGCAGAAAATGTCAATTCAATGAAGGTGCATACAAATTTTTAAAACTGAAGTTCAAACATATTGAGGTATGCTGAAAATCATAATATCTTGTTCATAATGTATATATTTAGAATTAAAAAAAAAATTTTTAATTCGTAGGAGAACGTTTTGCACAATTATTATAAACGTTATAACTATAATTTAACTTTAAGTGCACAGGCACTAGAAACTGCAGACCCAAATATTGTGAAACATGATTATCCTTCAGTGGTGAATTATGGTCATATAGCATATGATAATATTCCATTACTACAAGAATGTGCATTCATAGAAAATAAAGTACAAATTAGGAATTGTATGAATATGATAAGAGAAGATGAAATTAAAGAATTCGAAAAACTAAAGGTAACAATAAAAAAATGTACTAGATATATCACATATCTAAATATTATTTTTATTTTTAATGATATAAAAAAGTCTTAAACATAATATATTTATTGTTACATGTTATTGATATATTTCTGCCGAAGGGCATATTCTCTTAAGATTAATTATAAACGATCATAACAGAATTTTCTATTTACAATATTTATTCTTTAAGATATTTCAAATTGTATTCAAAACATTCTCTATATAATAAATACATCAGATTCATTAGGTGTTCATTCTTACGAAGAACATCCTATAGTGCACACAAATTGAAATAAGTTTAATTTGCATACATATTTTATAGAAAAATAATGAACTATTGGAGTGCGAATGCTGTTGTGATCCGGATTGTATGCCATCGAGATGCTTCACATGTAGCGATGGGCATATATTTTGTAAATCGTGTATGAAGAAAGGCATTGAAGTGAGGTTGGCAGAAGGAGATACACGCATAGTATGTTTTTTAACATGCAAAGGTGAATTTAGCTATTCTTCATTGAAGAAAGCATTATCTCCGACAGAGTTTAGCTTTCTGCTAAATAAACAACAAGAAGTTGAAGTTATAGCCGCTGGAATAGAGGGTTTGGTATCTTGTCCCTTTTGTTCTTTCGCATCTATACCACCTTCTGAAGACAAAATCTTTAGATGCTTTAATCCTGATTGTATGAAACAATCATGTAGGTAAGCTCATCATGAATAATTTAAGTAAGTAAGTAAATTTAAGTAAATTACTACTTCCCAATAATATATACCTTTTCCATAACTTACATTCATCATCTCATATTATGTTCTTTTTTATACTTTAGGTTGTGTAAAAAATTAAATCATATACCATCAAAATGCTACGAGGAGAACAATGAGAAGGCACGCTTATTGTTGGAAGAAAAAATGACTGAAGCTATTATACGTAAATGCAAATCGTGTTCCAGGCAATACTTTAAAACTTCTGGATGTAATAAAATTACATGTCCTTGCGGAGTTTGCATGTGTTACATATGTGACGTACAAATTTTTGGATATGAACATTTTAATAATGGGTAAAACAAATTACGTATTACAAACTTCCAAACGATAATATTAATACATATCAGTTCCTTGTAAATACTGTCGTATATAAATTGTAAATTGTTATTTAGTGACTGTCCGCTCTATAGCGATAATCAGAAATTGCATAATGATACTGTCAATGCAGTTGCTAATGCAACTTTGCAGTACATAGCAGTAAAGGATCCTAATGTACGGATAGAAGCACTCGGTACTGTGTCGAAGAAAACGTCGATTGTTGTTCCTGATGCCAACGTTTCGGTAAGACTTCATACTGCTGTTCGTATGATACTTCAAAATTATATTTTATTGATTCATAATTGTTTTTTTATTCTCTATACAGAAACGAGTAAAACAAGTAGCACAATTCGACATGTAAAATTTTTCTTATTGTATTACGTTGAATTGTCGAATTTCTTACCAATCGTAAATCGTTCGAGTAATTTAATGCGATTACGTTTAAAAGTAATGTATTATTAATTTTTTTTCCATAACCTAACATTTATACTATGTTTTTATTGTAAGATATTTTCTACCACATTTTTTACGTTGGTTCATCTTCAGATAATATTCGTTTGTAATTTATTTTACAAGTTCAATAGAGACTAAGATTAATGCAGATATATTACGTACGTTATATAATATTTATTTTTACGTTATGTTGTTATTTTTACGAATGCACGCATATATTTCACAAGTGCGCAATGTATGTATGCAGGATACGCAACGACATAATCTAGTAACAACTGATATTACGTCGTATGATTGGATTTTGCGTGCGCGCGCGCGCGCGCGCGCGCGCGCGTGTGTGTGTGTGTGTGTGTGTGTGCAACGAGACTGAAAGTTATAGAAATTAAGAAGATACTTTAATTATTGTTTAGAGTATGCGAAGAATGATATTTTTTAAGTTTATTGATCTGCACGTTAAATTGCTCTATTACAAAACCTAAAGTACAAACGATTTATAGTAATAAAGTATTGAGAACAGAAGATTGTTCTGCTTGATTCCTTTCAACAATCTCGTAACGTGTCTGATAATGTTAACTCGTCAAGGTCCAAGCCTAACGTCAATAAGACCTTCTCCTCCATGTGAACGAGAAGGTTCGTTTGTATCCGATTGCGGAGTTGTGTTCACGTTGTGATTATGTTTATCATTATTGAGATTTCCATCATTAGGATTGCCGTGATTATTGTTCTCATTAATATTTGGACCTTCGCCCGGATTCTGTCCCTGTCCAGTTTCCGACGGTTGCGTGTTAGCGCTAATAATAATCATCTGTAAACGATAAAGTATTCAAGTTAAACAAAAACTCGACGTACATTACTTTATGATATTGGGATCAAACAGTGCCGGATAATCGGAATTCTATCGTATTTAAAATCTCTTTTATCGTTGAAATTTAACGGGTAAGGAACATTCTAAGGATACAGAAATGTTCAGAAGACGTTCTTCTGCATACACACACGCTTCTTCATCCAAAGAAGTTAATTCATAAAAATTTAAAAATGGCGCTCTTTCGTGATAAGCTTTTTTTATGGATTTTGCACAGCTGCACCATCTGTGCCGGAACATTGAACTCACGGCATTATCATCTGTGAATAATTTCGGCGAACAGTTCTAATACGCCGATAAGCTCACGCCGTATTCGCCGCTAGAATTATTAGGTTATGTAATAAGTCCGTTCGCGTTTTCTTGTAAGAAAATATAATTTTATTATATTATTATATTATTTTATATATTATAATAATATTATAATATATATATATATATATAAATAAATATATATATATATATATATATATAATATGTTATAATATTATTATAATATATAAAATAATATAATAATATAATAAAATTATATATATTATATTATAATATTATAACAGTTCTAATTCTCTGTTTCGAAATTTCGCCACAAGCGGCGCCACTTGTCACGAATCGCACTGTTTTCAAATTTGTATAAAGCTTTGTATATATGGATATGCATGCGTAGAAGAATCTTACGAACTGATTTCTGTATCCTCAGAATATTCCTTGGCTGTTAAATTTCTCCGATAAAAGACCGTGCTACACTCGATGTCGAAATTAGAAGAAAATTGCAGAAAAATGACGCATCGAATTTTATAGGGTCATCGTAAAGAGTAGATAGGATGGATACCTTAATTAGATCGCACTGAGACGAATGTGGAAAGAAATTTGCTAAACTGCAGTTCCCATTCGTATCGAATGTATTGAAATGAGCATAAACAGGATATTAGGAGGTTTGGTGAGTGATTTTTGAATCCCTGTTGATTATCACCGTATATAACATACCGTGTCTTTCGTTATTGGATTCTGGCAGACCCATTCAGCTTTGCTAAGGTCGATCGAGTTCATGTTGCTGGTTTGTTGATACCAATTCGCGGTATTCTGATCGCCGGGTTGAACACCAGGCAGTGGGAACGATGTTGGCGGTCGAACAGGTGGAAATTGCGACTGCGGTAGCGGTGAACAGCTGTGTACCTGTCCCGGCGGACATATTTGGCCCGGGGGCTCGAAAGGTTGACATGGTTGCGATTGCGGAGGTCCTGGATGTTGATGCGGAAGTCCTGGATATTGATGTGGATGTGGATGTTGAGGCCTCCATTGTCTCCAAAAGTTACTACCCTCGGCTACCGACAGCAGCAGACACACAGCGACGATTCCCTTCATTCTCTGACAAACAGGACGCCGATAATAAGCTCACGCCGTATTCGCCGCTAAAATTATTAGGTTATGTGATAAGTCCGTTCGCGTTTTCTTGTAAGAAAATATAATTTTATTATATTATTATATTATTTTATATATTAGTATTATATTATAATATTATATATACGAGGTAAATTACACTGAAATTATAAATAAATAATATATAATATAATAATATAATATATAGTATTATATAATATAATATTATAATTATAATATATTATTATATATAGTATTATATTATATTATAATTGTAATATATTATTATATAGTATTATATTATATTATAATATTATATTATATATTATTTATTTATAATTTCAGTGTAATCTACCTCGTCTCAAAGTAGACAGCTAAGTCTAACTTCGTTTAAGCTAAGTTGCATAGAAACAGCTCTACGCGAACGTGTCTGAAAATTCACATTTGAACTATCGCTTCGAATTCGTGTAATTTTCCTTGTCTCTTTCTGGGCGTCAGAGGCCCGCGCGTACGGACTTATTAAACAACCTAATCGTTCTATCAATTGGTAAATTTGTCCGATTAACTCTCGAAATCCAATCGACCACGTACAATAACAGACTTCTCTGTGTTTCACAAGCGAACCAACACGCACCGGCGGCGTACCGAGAATCCTGATGCACCAAACGATATTTCAACAGCGCACTTTTCCGATTATTATGACTGTTGCAACGAAACTGGCGTGTCGAATGAGTAGGAAAGAAACACTTGTGCCTCGTGCCGACTCGCTACTTGGAAAAACCGTGCGCACAAAGGAACCGTTGTCGAACTTTGACTCACGACGATATTTAGATCGCAGACGAAATTGAAAACGGAAAAAGAAGAAGAAAACAAATTTCTATTAGGGGGACCGGACAGTAATGTCGTTTCTGCGCATATTTATCTGTTTGAATTTAATGTAAACAAACGACATAACTTTCCGGTCCCCCTAATATTTTCATGGGAAAACGAAGATCGGAATGGGACGAGAATCTCTGTTCTTTAAGAAGTGGTCTTCCATAGTAAAAAAAAAAACGGATTATAGTTTTCACATACAGAGTGTCCCAAAAATGTCTCGCAATCCGAGAATGGGAGGTTCCCGAGGTAATTCGAAGTAAGTTTGTCCTTGGCGAAAGTGCAATCCACGGCTTCGTTTACGAGTTATTAACGAAAAAGAGTGACCAATGAGAGGCGAGATATGCTGGCGCGAGGCGGCCGAGCCAATGAGCGGAACCGAGCTTCGCGCGCTCATTGGCTCGGCCGCCTCGCGCTAGGCGAGCTCGCCTCTCATTGGTCACTGCTTTTTCGCGAATAACTTCTAAACGAAGCCTCGTAGAACATTTTCGCTGAGGAAAAAGTTGCTTCAAATGACCTCAGGAACATTTTTGGGATACCCTGTATACCATAAATTCGTAAAAATTCGTAGTCCAGTGCCGATCCTACGGATCTCCGGTTCGAGCTTACCCAACGAAGCGATTCTTTCGCAGTTCGAATGTTCGACAAATTAAATTCACACGGGGAACCTAATCGTCCGGACCTGATGAAAATGAAATCGAGCGTTTCCGAGGGATCCCGTGGATTTCACAAGGTGCAGCCATCGCGTCGAGGAGCGACGATCGTCGGCGTCGGGACCCGATGGTGTACGCTCGATGATCAAGGCCGATGATGTAATAAAATTCACTTACCGTCGAAGAAGCGTCGAAGAGCAAGGTTTCTGTCGTCGATGGCACCGATCAAGATCGAACGCGGAACTGCCGCTCGCCTGGCGAGACGTCGGTGTCTTTTGTGACGTACGCTTTTTTGCGTGTTCCGAGTCCTAAAAGCAATTTCGTTCGGTAAATATTAATGGACCGTGTTCGGTAAACTTTGTGATTCTTCTCTTCTCTTCCTACGGAAATATAAACAACGGCGTTCGTCGCGGTGTTACGCGATACGCGTACCGTACTTTGTCGGAGTGCTGCGATCGAACGGGACGCCGATTCTTCGGTGCCGGTTTCACGAATACTCGTGAAACGTAGCTTCGCGTAACGGAGGAAATAAATTGATTACCGCGCTACGTGCATGATTTATTGTAATTTATGCCGGAAATCGTGGCATGTCCGTTTCGCAAAAGGTCCGCGCAGGTCAGCGGATGTTTAATACCGAGGATAACGCATCGCGCGATAAGTCTTCGGTTTAGCTAAGAAAAACAAATTTTTCTTTTTTTAGAAATTCGACTTTATTCGTCGACGTACTCTTCTTCAGGAGCGCTACATTCGTTCCAACGCTCCTCTAACTTTTCGATGCCTCTTTTGTAGAACGATTTGTCTTTGTTCTCAAAATAGGCCTCCGTTTCGGCAATCGCTTCAGCATTTCAGCCAAATGCTGAGCCAAATGGAGCATCTTTTTGACGTCTGCGAAAAGCCGGTAGTCGCTGGGGGCTAAATCCGGAGAGTAGGGTGGGTGGGGAAGCAATTCGAAGCGTAATTCGTTCGATTTAACCCCTTAACGTGCACGCTCGAGTTAACTCGAGCGCGCTAAACAGGCCAAACTGTGCATACTTGAGATAATTCGAGCGGCGTTGTACTTTATGTTGCTATAATTTTTCACACTCGAATGCAATCGAGAATTGAAAATAACAATGTGAAAGCAATAAAAAAACAATCGTTTTATTGATATTTATCATTTACATGGGATTGTAAGCTATAACACTTACTTATTCAAGTATAAAATGTATCCTATTTCTACTTATCACACTTACGACTTATCTCTTCCTTGTGAACCGCTTTCCGACAGCGTATTCATATTCAGATTCTGATTCGCTCATTTCTCAATATATATTTTATTAAAATATAATGTAAAATAAAATATAATAATAATAA